GCTAACAATAGGCTTACGTCATCTCTATAGCTCTGCGAATCAGTTAGAAATTTTTCTCTTTATCTGTTGTTCACCTATTGTGTAATTTTGCCACGGTGACGCAAATTGTCAATTCGTAAGCTTGTGTGATTTGTCACCGCATGCAAAACGAGACATTTAGGCTTTGCCCAGTATGCTCCAAAGCACTTTAATATTCAAATTTGGTCTCGTATTTAATAGATAGTCGCGTCAAGTGTACTACATTGCAAATGCTTGGCGTGAATAACGCACATATAGGTTGACCTATACGAACAGCCGGAAAAAATCGCAGAAGTCTCACGACAGGAGAATTGTCCTTTGAACTGACAAATCGATGTGTAGCTAGCGCCTAAGCCTTTACCCTTTGTCAGTTAAGGGTCTTCGGAAAGGTAAAGTCATTATTTTTAACGGTATTTGTCAGTAACTTAATATTTAGCCCACAAAAAGGAATAATATTTTTCCTAAAGCCATTCATGTTTGCTAGCACTGTCAATATGTGTAACTAATTTATCTGAATTATATTTGCTGACGAGAGGGAGAGGAAATGGCGTTGTTAAAACAAAACAACTTCAGGTTAAAAGCTTTTTTTTCGTAAATCCCTTATATTAGTCCTAAATATTTTTGCCATAAAACCAGGCAACAGTTTGATTGGCGCCTTAAACTGAGATAAATAAGTCATGAAGCTTATATTTCGTTCTATTTCATCGAATACATGGCAAAAATATTATCTCTGATGCCATGTTCTGATTGCAGTCACTCTATAGTTTGTTTTATTACGCACTGAATAAGCTAGCAAAGCCAATGTTACTCAAAAGGTATTTTCGTTGCCAGTCAACAAATTCGGGTCTGAAAGTGATTTGTTTCTCTTTTTCAACGCAGACAGTAAGCCGGTCCACACAAAATCATGCCTCGATTATTTTAGACGCATACATAAATTTTGTGACCAATCGTAATGCATTTGAACAACATATATGAAAAGGTTTAGGTACGCTGATTATCAATAACTTTGAAAGAATATTAAATTGAATGATTGTTTGGGGGAGTGTTATGCTCCTTAAGATCATGCTCATTTGAATACGTGAGAGTTCTTTGTGTTTAGAATCTTTCATTTCAGTTAAGTAAATGATAAAAGCCAAAGAGGTCGAATTCGCTGAATTTCGTGTTTAGTCCTTCTTAAGTTGATCACGTGACGTCGAAGGCTGTGTGCGCTCTGTGATCAAATCTCACCTCAAATACTTTCGTTCTCGCAAACTTGATAATCTTGAGCCATCAACCAGACCAAATAATGTAAATCCTAACTAAAAAGACTCAGGAAAGGTACTCATGTATTTTTATTTCGCTCTAAGTTATGCTTAGAAACAAACCTGGAGCGTTCGAGGAAACAACACTATCTTTTGACCAGCTGGAGATGCAAGTAAAATCAACAAAAACAGGCGTTACTTGATATCCGCCTTTATCGGTCACAGAACATATCTCTTCTGAAACGTTGACAATCAGCTTGCTCAAAATAAAACCATAATACATCATATGTTTATTTGAAGACTTTTCGTTTATCCAGACCAACCTGCTACTTGAAGCATTGATTATTTTCAACGTTGTTCTTTATGGGCTTTTCTGTCTGAGTTGCACGTCGCGTTGAAATGTACATGCAACTGCCTATATTTTCACTCTGATAAAATTTCCTTGACTATCTTTCTTTCCACGATCTCTTCACAAAATATTTCTTCAACCAGTCCTTTGGAGAGATTGAGCGGAAGTTAAGAGACCCTTCAGAACGAGGCAGACTACCAGAGTCCTTCAATTTTCTCCTTGGTCTGTCAAGTTGTCAAATTTTCTCGCGTCATTTCTTTCGTGATATAATCGATGGATGAAAATAAAAGAAGAACTGCTTGTTATCTTAGACTGAAGATATCTATAATAATGCACATGAACTATATTTGGCTTTGCATGAGGTGCTGACCTGCTAGGAAGTAAATAAGTTGTAAGATTTAATCTCAGGCATTTAATGTAAGGTCCTGTTGGTAAAACTAACAGTAGAGACAGAAGAAGATGTTTTTATGTCGGCAAAACGCTTGAATAAGCAACATCGAGATCCTCATTGGCTGAAAGCCATGCCAAACCGACATTCCTTTTTAAAGATTGACAAGTTTTTGACGCGGTGTCAAAAATTGTCGTGGTCCAATATTGCCGGCGTTTCGTTATACCGTGAGATCACGAAAACGCGAAAGGTCGAACCTATACAGATGACACTTTCTAAATTCAGAGAAAGGAGATTCATCTTTCATACTGCGGTAAAATTTAACGTAAAGTACTTTAGAATGGAGAAAGCACGGTAACGTATTCCCTCATCAAGAAGTGCTCAATCTCATTTCTTCTACTCATCTTCTAAGCCGAGATATTTTGCCGCGGGGCATAGATTTCTGGATACAGCGCTCAACATCACAGATCAGGTAACCGCGACAAAGAAATTGAACGTGTCGTTTAATGCACATTAACTTTGTAGAAGACAAAATAACTCATTTTCGCTTGCGTCAGTTTAAACTATTTAAGGTAAATGGACAAAAGTTCGAACTCTGAGAACATGTTAGTGTGACGTCAAAGGCCATATTGGTTTATTAACTTACTATTTCCATGCAAATTGTAATTTCCTCGGTGTATAAAAAAAGCCGATATGGCGACTGTGGTAAAGCTCTGTCATCTTCCATGCTAATCATGATTTTCGACTCTCTCCACCGTTGTGCGAGGCCCTAGTAGGCGCTGGCAAACAAATGTTGCTAATGTTTCGAGCGTGGGTATTGTGGCTCAGTGAACCTGGGTTTGTTGTATCCTTGTCCATGTATGGGAGCAATTAGTGGAAACAGCAAGGAAAAACATGATTGAAGTAGCTAAGTGGTAAGCGTTTCGTCCGATTTTGGCAGTCTTCCATAATTGCATAAACAAAAATATCACAAATAGCCGTGATATCGTGTTCCTGAAGAACAAAGTCTGTAGCACTAAATTGATCCAAAGGTTAGTTAACAATTGAACAATCACCTTACATCCTTCCGTTTTTCAAGCAATGTATGAATCATTTTATGATGCAGGCCGTGGTCAGTATGAGGCAAACCGAAACACTTTCCTCAGCCAGTTTGGACGTTTTGCATTGGATTTTTTTAGGGGGACAGTGGGATAGTAAAACACTGCTAAATACATAGGAAAAGAATTTTACCATATGGACATCATGCCTCAGTCATAATTTCTCTCTTGCTACGGCCCGGTAATGCGTTGGTTAATCTGTCTAGTCACAGTTGTGTTAAGATCGATCCTTGGCTTGGGTTCGAAGTCTCATCTATTGTTCTCAGCAGTGTCCTAAAAGGCAAATTCACGCTCAGAAGGCATAGGACTAACTGAGAAAAGAAAGGCAAGTGGTACTTCACATGCGTAAGACTGTAGAAGTTTCAGGCTGAAAATTAAGTTAGTCTCTCGACTTAAGAATTCGGATCGTGTTTATAAAGGGGCAAGTTGTGGTTATGCGCACACAACTGTAACTTTATTTGGGGAGATTATTTTTCAGTTATGTCAGCAATTTCTGTTGCGTGGCCGTGAGGTTAAGTGTAACAGGGATTGTACCATGCTTGTCAAATGTTTAGTGAACGGGCGTCAATGACTTCCTGTCGATTTGTTGAACACCTTGTAGTCTTACATCGACAATAGGCCATGCTCGATATGATACATCAGTATTCTAACATGGCTTCGAGGGTTTCAGGACAATCTTCCACATTTGGTGGTGTTTTCTTTGTATCCAAGTCTCTTTTAGGAATTGAAGGACAAAAGAAACTTTAAGAGAATTGCAATTTTGTCCTGAAAGCCTCGGAACCATGTTGGAATATTAAGATATCGAACGGGTCCTATTAACAGACTTTCCTGAGGCTGATCAGTTCATTTTGGCACATCTAGTTTGATTTCAATTTGCGAGCAAGTCTATATCGTTGCTCATTTTTTTATCACACTGAGTGGCATCGCGGTATTTGCAAATGACAGAAAGAGAGTTTGCTGAGAGGAAGAATGCAATGGCTATAAATTATTATATGTGTGAAGTATTAACTATAAATGACAGCAAAACGGTTTCAATCCTTCTATATATATGTAGCTTACCGATAACAAGGCTGCTTGCGATTTCATACTGCAACAACAGAGAACACCACCAAATTTTGCCGCAGAATTTGCATCATAAACTGCAACTGCTGAAAAAATTCACCAATTGAAATCTCGAAGAGCTGGGCCCATAATACCCGATTGTCTCTATATCGATCTAATATCCAATCAGAATTATAGCTCGTGCATTCCGACAGCGGTCACGAGATTATGTTGTTATATCAATACTCTTGAATGAAGGCTGGAGGAATTATAAGCATTGACGATAAGTTGTCGATCATTGTCAGTGGCACTGCTGAAGGAACTGTACTAAAGAAAGCTATCAACCACAAGGGCAATGTATTGATGCGATAACAGATTCTCACAACAAACAATCAAAGATTTGTACAGTAGTCGGTTGGGAGAGCCAGAGGTAGTACAGTTGAACCTCCCGTAAGCGCCCACCCAAAATGTCAAGCCTAGGTGGTCGCTTAAGGAAGGTGGTCGCTTACGAGAGCTTAGAGCAAAATTTTGGCTCATTAGCATATGGTAACTGAAGAGACTTACCTCATGTTTTAAATGTTTTATTCGTGTGAAAAGTCGTTTTCGAGAAAAATGCGGTACTTCTCATCTCCGTCTCTTGCACTACCCAGGAATGCGATAATGCTAGAACACCTTATTGTCCAATTTCTGCTCTATTGTCTGTAGTATCTGTCAAGTGGTCGCTTACGGGAGGTTAAAAACAAAGGAGAATTTCAAACTTTTAGTTCTACAAGTGGTCGTGGTCGCTTACGAGAGATGGTCGCTTACAAGAGGTTCCAATTATAGTGATTTGACTTGGAAACTTTTGGTATTTTGGAAAACTGGTCGCTGAAGAGAGGTGGTCGCTGACGAGAGGTGGTCGCAACCAGAGGTTCGACTGTAGTATCTCTAGTTTGAGACTGGGCTCCAAAACAGACCTCAGTACTTTAGTTAAGCAAATAAAATCGGACAGAAAAAGTCGCGATATTTGCTCGTCTGGAAAGCAGAAGTCAATAATGCAATGCGTCTCGCGAGTAACCGGTTTGTTTAAGGATTGCTACACGCGCAATTGGCCGGTGCGGAAATTCAGAACTCATGCGGTTTCTTTGGTTATTCATTTATTTATTTTCAAACGCAACTCGGTAAAGGTAGTGAGCGGGCTGATGGATGTGAAAGCAAAAAGAGGTGGATAAAAAAAGAGACAGGACTGCAGTTCTATTGGCTAATGGTGACATTGTTGTCTTTATCCCGTTACTCGCTTCGACCGTCGACGGAAACATCTATTTGCCAGTGATTTGCATATTGCAATAATAATATGTTCGTTGGTCGACGTTTCAAGTAAGTTGAAAGTAGAGTCAGTTAGATGCGACACCGCACTGAACAGCCTAGCCTTAAACTCCCAAAACCAGTACATCCGATTTTTGAGCTCTGCAAGAACACTTCGACCTCGACTATCCCATGCTTGCGATTTGCGCGGGATAAATAATTTCCAAGAAACAAAAATCACGTTTCAGGTAAGCTCTATTTCAAAGGCTTTATTTCACCGAAAACAAAATGAGTAGCTTTATTCTTGAATCTATCTTCTCCTAGTACACTTCATAGAACGCTCTACTAACAACAATACACTGCTTCGAAATTAGGCCATCTCCGAAAAGAAAAATCCCTCAAGCTATAATTCAAAAAATGACAGTGAAGAAGCTCGACACAAGCTGTAATTATTATATTTTACACCGAATGTAGGTTGCCCGATTTAAAGATCAAAGTTACTTGAGCTATCAAGCGAACGATTTAAGCCTCATAAATCGGGCATTTCATTTTCTCAACTTAATTCTGGCATAAAATGGCCATAATATTACAAATAAACTAGAGATATGATTTGTTCGCACGGGCTTGCCAAGTTTCGGCCGGACACTCGACAAATGCTAGTTGCTATGTGAAAAGATTCGGTGGATATATATATCAATGTATAGCATGGTTAATGTACAGAATAATTCTTTAATTGTTTGGTTTTGACTCTCACAGCCCTGTTTGTTAATGTTTAGATCTCATTTGATGGGGCAGTAAATGGCCGATCCGGTTTTCAATTATTCCCTCGCTGAGCAGGCGAGCTAATACAGGGGCCGCGAAAAAAAATAAGGACCGAGCGCAACGCGTTCATATAATATTCGTACGGAAAACTCATTTTGAAATTTAAATTTGGTGACTTTCACCAGTTAACACAAGGATTACGTATAAAGACAGCCGTCGATCAAACACAGCTTTCAGATTCTGCTTGTTTTACAGTCGGTAAACAGACCATAGAGTGTATTTTTTAGCTCAAGTTGTCTGTATGGGCGAATTATGTGCTTCAAAATGTATATTTTAATTTACGCTGCAAGCTTAGCTCTGTTCGCCTTGTGGGGTATTTTTGGGAAAGCAGGTGTACATACATTGATGGAAATTATCTTCAGACAAGGCGCCTTTTTCGATTAAAAAAAATTCAGGCCAACATTTGACAGATAGCCTGCGTCCGCACTTAAATTGGGCCCAACCTTCACGGCAAATTAAAATTTCGAACTAGAAGATAAAAATCTCTACACGCTAGTATGGGATAAGTTATGTTATCTCCGCTCTTGGTCTCTTTACGCCGCGATTCCAAAGATATCATTCGTCTGTAAAAACTGACAGGTGCTGTTCAACCACACGCCGTACACACACACACACCAACTCTTTCTTTAAAACAACTATTAAATGAACTTTATCTCCATTTCTAACAAAGGGCTATTTACAGCAAGGAATTGTCTCTGACAAAGGCATATTGCTGTTTGAAAATTTACTAGTTTAGAAGCCATCACCCATGCTGCCTTGGAGGTGTTTGCGCAGAAAAGCCCAAATTTGCATTTGAAAAATGAATTTTCGTTCGGCCGCTGCGAGTTCTCTTTTTTTGGCATCGTATTTTAATTGAGTTGAGAGGGATCTCGGTGATCACAGAAATATTTCACGCAAAGCTTAAGAGACAAACAGAAAGTAAAAAAACACAACGATATTTTGACGTAGAAATTCCGGACTTTGTACGCCTTCCGAAGTAATTTTTCCTGTTTCTTATGCAGTTATTGTAATCTGCAGGATAGAAGGACGGTCTTAAATGAATGAAATGTTTGTTTTTGTTCCAAGATATTACATTAGCATATTTATCATTCAAACCGACACATTAAGCTTTTAGGGTAATTCAAACCATTTTTGTTTTCTTCTAAGCACAGCTCTTCTATTTACAGTCGGCGAAAATAATGAGCTCCTCTCGGCCTACATTGATTAATATAAGTAAATCTATAATAAAAACCTTTTCGATTTGATTTACAAAATTCATGATTTTTTCTCTTTCAGTTTGTATGTACACTTCACGATAAGATATGCAACGGCGGAGAAAAAACTCTCAACGTTCCTTTTGTATTAACCAGCTTCTTAGCACTTTTTTTCGGCTTATTTGACTTGCACTTCCTTTCAATTGCTCTAATGCCAATATCCTAATCATGTAAATTAACCAGCTGGGCCGAGACCACCAATAATTTAAGGGGGAGGAGGTAGGCTGGATAATGATATTTATCCAAATTATTTTAGCTGTAAGTGACGCGGCCCTCAATCACGTGACCACAATCAAGTTAATTCATTTTCGCATTCTGATCCAGGATCAGCCTGCTTAGGCCCAAACTTAGATTTACGAAAGTCTACAGAAATTGAATGACTTGAGATTCGTCTGAACACAACATATTACAACTACTCGATCAGCGTACATAGTCGAAAATCTAATTTTCAGTCCACATCAGTGTCAAGCTAGTCAAAGACTTCTAGGTCAAGATTGTACGGTATCTACGAAGAAACTTGCTTTTCTTTGTTTACAAAGAATCACGTTCTTTTTATTCAGACGCTCGAAGTCCTCTGTGAAATGTAAATTTTTAAGCCTTGAAAAATGAATCCCGTCTTGTCACCTCTTGCGTTGTTCACCTCATTCTTGAATCAATGATATCAAACTTGTGAGAAAATGCGTCCCTGTTTTTCCATTCAGTCTTTTTACGCCCAGAATTTCATTGAGCAGTTTTAAGCTGGTATGTCAGTATGAGGCCCAAGACCTACCAAGTTACCAACCAGGTAGCCATGTTTTCCAAGGTTATTGAATAATATTTTGTTCAGACCCTATTTCTTTTCATTTACGGCTACTGTAGTCATCTTATGCAGAGGGTCGCTTTTGTAGCTAATTGATAACGAGCGTTTCGCATTGCAAAGAATTTAAGTGTATCATGACTTATCAGTTTGTTCACTGCGCCGTGTTCAAGTGTGAGAAAAGTAGCTTTAGTGCTAACTGAAAAAAAAACAAACAGTAGTCACAGGGCTGGTGGCCCAAGCATTAACTGACTGCTTACGACTTGTGATCAATCAACAACAACAACACCTATAGATCGTAAAGAATTTAGTATGGCAGTTCACCTATCAAAGTACAGTGAGTGAATTAATGATCCCTAACAACCCTGTTTTGGAATTTGTGGAGTCTTTTGTTCGTATATTGATCAGTTATTAAAAATCTAGACAGCTGTCTAACAAGTAGCCCAGGCTTTCGAGATACGTTTTTGTCTCCATAGCCCTCGATTCCATTATTCAGCGGACCTCTGCATGAGACTCCTTTCTGCAGCCTTACCGTAATCCGAACTCTGAGTACAAAAACGGGTTCTTTGTATTGAGATTTCACAGGAGTTTCACTGGCTCTTACTTTCTTTTTTTGTTCTCATTCATACCAACAAATCTAATGTGTTTCCTTACTGAGTTGGAAGTTTAGTAACAAAGTCTTTGCTTACTGCTAAAGAAGCAATCTGCCTTTATCGTCAAAAGTTTTGATGGTACAGGAAACTGCGAGACACAAATCATTTTCTCAGTTCCGAGTTGTCGTATTTCGAAAGCTATTAGGAAATCATTTAATTCGACATTAATTGTGAAACATTATCTTTATCTTGAACTATTATTTATATTTAAGGAAACACAAACATTGGCGGTCGAGCTACAATCCACGCAATGTTTATTGTAATCAAAAATAGTTTTCATCAACCCGAACTGTTTGTCTCATTTAGCTGGAGGTTATTTCTGTTCGTCCTTGTCCACTCGAAGTTACGTTGCGCTAGCGCTGCGTTGTTTCAAAATTGCGAATTTGTCTTCGTTGTACCGTAAAGCAGTAAACTTGTCACAAAGTAGTTCAAAATCAGTAAAATTATTTATTACTACTTTGGGACAAAACATTGAAAAGAAAAAGCCGTTTTGAAGTAAGTGATATTTGATTTAGTACCTTAAATGAAAGCTTTTTGCATCCATAATCAAAATAGCTTTCCTAATTGGAAATTGCTAAAGGTTATTTATGCCAATTTCGTTTTGAAAGAAAAAAATAGCATATCCATGACAGAAAACGAAAAGATAAAGTGAAAGAGTTAACGAAGATATATCGAAATTTGTGATAAGAAATTTACTTTTTTGTGTTTTTGAGATAAACTGGAAAAAAATCAACATTAGCAGAACAAGAATTTTTTCCAGTTGTAGGCAGAATTGTTCTAGGCAATTCAAGATGACTTGCATAATTTTTCTGACAGCCATGTTAATTGCGTCAGTGGATATCCGGCCCTTTCCTTTTCAAATGATTTTTCTTTTACTGACAAAAAGCTATGATTGGGCAGAATGCGGAGCGCAATGAAATGCTCTGTCGAGGCGGGCGCTGGTAAATAAACATGCCTGAATAATACGAGTGCATTCTGTCTCCTAAGACAAACATGTCTTGTAAGTTTCTTGATATAATCACGTCACTTTTGTCCATATTAAGTACATACTTTCGTTTTTGCATATTAAACAGTTCGAGGCAGCGAGATCGGGGCGACTAAACGTTGCGCCCACCAAATCCGCTTGAGTTCTTGCTCGATTCAAGGAAACGCCGTTTGCCACATCGTAAGGTATTTATATCCTCAATTATTTTTATCTATAAAACTCTTCAAACTGATGACCCCGATTTTCCTACAAAACACAACAACCGATGAAATATGACATCTAAACGCGACAGTACAAAAAGCTCCTTTGCAATGGCGATTGCTCGGCCCTGGAATGAATTCCCGGCAAGGCTCCTCTCATTTTGTCCCTAGGGTCAGTCAGATATTACTTGTTTTCATTTAGTGCTCGGCTTTTGTAGAAAAAGGCTTTACAAGACACAGACATGTATATAGCGACCATGGAGGCTGCCTGCTTTGACAGTTAGCTAATGGGTCTTTGTATTGTCAGCTACAAACAAAACCTAGCCATTGAGGCAGCCAGTGGGTATGCCTTTATAGACTTCATAGTAGCTCGCGCTGTATTTATCATTCGTGAAGCAGTAAAACCAAAACTAGTTCAAAATCCTTCGGCTTTACTTGTCGACCGGGCGTGCAATATCATCGAGTCGGTTTATTTTATTTCTTGACTCTTTTTGTTTGACCTCAAGTTTATAAATCAATATATTCATATTTTCACCTTAAATTTTCGAGGAGAAACCATGTTGCTTTGGGAGCACTGAGTGCCTCAAGCATTTTTGGTCCGCTAAGCACGATAACGAAATGCGATCGAAGAAGTTTCTGGAACTTCCAAAATTTCCATAGCGTCTGTTTATTAGCTTCTCAGGCAGCGAGACCGAAAGGTGAATTATGCTAACGTCAATCTGATTACTTACTTTGACAGATCGCACCCGCTACAAATGTATACATTTCCAGATGTTTTGAAGTACTTCCAGACTACTCTGCATAACGTTGCTGAAAGCCGCTGTGAATGAAAATCCTGGGGTCCACTGTGCCTCATTTCTGCTACAAAGAACTGTGGCTAGAGAGCGTCATTTTATTGGCCGGTTTTTGCCTCAGCATGTGCCTGCCTGCGATGTTGCTTGTATTCATTGTTGTCGTTACTTTACTGTACGTGCGGTACCTCCAGAACCAGCAGGAATTCAAACCATGTTTGTACTACAAGAAGTCGCGCATAAGCGTCGTTATAAAAAAAGGTTGCAAGCGACTGAATGAAGACTTCAGGCCAACATTTTGGGCGAGGAATAGCCATATTCAGACACTTCTGCCCTGGATCTGTTCCTGGTGGCAGGAAGAGCTGGAATTTAATCGCGAATATTTACAAATGGCGGACAAAGGAGTGGTTGCCTTGGACTGGCTGGCGGTGGATGACAAAACGCTGACGAAAATGAGTCCAGTTATGTTACTTATACCCGACTTAACCGGCGCGGCTACAGATATGGCAGCCGCCTGCACAGAGGTTTTGGCGCGAAACTTTCGTCCGGTGGTTTTCAATCGGCGCGGCCATGGCGGGACATCTTTATCAACTTACCGTTTGCAAAGTTTTGGAGATGCGCGTGACTTAGACGAGGCTGTGCAATTCATCCGCCACATGTATCCATATTCGGAAATATTTGCCATCGGATTTTCTACCGGCTCAGGGCTGCTACTGTCCTATTTGGGAGAAACTGGTGCGGCAACACAAATTAATGCTGCAGTTTGTATCTCGCCCTGTTACGATGCTGAAGGGCTGTTTACCTCTAAAAGTGCACCCGAGCCCTACAACTGGCTTTGGACGTTAAAACTTAAATCTATCTTGCGACAGCACCCGTGCTTAGGAAACGTGATCAATTACAATCTTGCACTCCAAAGCTCGAACATTAAAGAACTGGATGAACGCGTTTTCGTGAAACTAAATCAGTATAATTCCTTGGAAGAGTATTGGAGATACAATGATCCAATGCGCAACGTCACAAATATTACCATTCCTGTACTCTGTGTGAGCGCGCTGGATGATCCCATATGCACTAAAGATACGATCCCCTTTAGCCTTTTTAAAACCTCGTCCAACCTCTTTTTGGTAACTACAGACAAAGGAGGTCATTGTGGATTTTTAGAGAATGGTATTCCGTCCTCTTGGGCGAACAAACTCGCCTGTGATTACCTGGAGACAGTGTTTCATCAAGGGGTACCGAAACAGCCCGAGGAAAACCACATCAGTTTCTTTCCTGAATTTAATGGTACAAGAAATCGAAGTTACACAACGTAGCAAGCGATATATTTGACGCTGTTATTAACTGATGTAGCCAGAGCTACGTGCGGTTCATCTCAAAACATTTTTGTTGGGCACGCAGAAATAAATAAAAAACGATTTCGTTTCAATAAACGGAGAGATTATAGAGTTTTGAACCTGAATTAACTTTTAATTTATATGCCAATCGCCAGGCTGACTACTGCAGACTTCATTCTGTAGTCATTTAAGATATCTAATTGAAATCCCGATAATAAAACTACAAAATATTTAAAGGTGTGTTCACTCATATTTCAAGGTATCACCACTTTTTTGTCCGCCCGCCATGTTTTATATTCCTCTTTACAGTGGGAGCGCATTATTTGCAAGTTATATTGATATTCAAATGACTTCGCATAAGCCTTGTTTACTTTTTACAAGAGTAATTAATAGACTTACGGCAGAAAACAGTGATCCCAAAGAGGTTTAGCGTGACTTAAATGGTAAAAGACAATTATCCCTCCACTCACCAATCTAGCTGGCTGAAACACTTATTCAAGGTAAGCTCCACTACAAGGAGCCCCCGGGATGGCATTGCAATGGAAACTGGTGTGTTTGTGGATGGATTACGTTTTGTTTGCGCTCCAAGAGACGAGATTCTTGACTGAAAGAGAGCGTTGACAAAGCTTTTGACGGATCAAATCACTGCTTTAATCAACTTCCCTCAAACTGAGTCTTTTGCGAATTGTCCTTTTGACAAACCCATTGTTTAACTGAAAATAGCAGTTCTCCATACTTTACCATACACTTCTTGCAGCGCTTGGTTTGAGAATGTGTGGATGAATCAGGATAATATCCTCAAGATTGTGTTAATGCTCGACAGTAGGTTGTTACTGAAAGTCGGCCCGATCTTTATATCGCTATTCTATATGGGAAGTCTTAAAAGAGGTTAAAATTAGTTCTCCAATAACACATATATGTCAACGCAAAGTTAAAAGCTGATGGTTCAAGTGTTAGCGAGTCCTTGTCGCAGCCAATAAAATGTGTGTGTAAACGGAGGTTCGACCCATAAATCAATGGAATCAAAAATGAATGTGAAGAGGGTATTTATTGTTTTATTTTGTACTAAATTTGACGATGCTAGGAACGGATAGCCGTTACATGTATTTGAATTTTAGCCTCGTTTGGGGACGTTACTCTATGGTCGAGCGCGGCACGCGTGGAGTTGTGGGACTGATGTTGATAAGAAAGGAGACGCCTGTCAGTCGTACACCTTGTTCCGTTTCTTGTCGAAAGGCATTATTGCCTATGTGTGGATGTCATTTGCCAAGGAATAGGCCATTTCCGAGTTGCGTTTTGCCTCTCTGTGTCAACACGAGTAAACCATTCATAAGGACGAAAATGTGTTCCCCTAAGGATCATTTTCATGCAAATCAAACTCATATGAAAGGTTTTGCTCGGGGACTTCTTTTGAAACAGACGTACAAGGTAACTCGAAAATGGCCTAATATTGTTAAGAGACAACTTCAACATGTTCTCGTTTGTACTCAAGCACGCGACGCGCCGGTACGAAAATAAATTTTGCAATATTTGTCATAAATTGTATTAACAGTTGTCGCGTGCATTTTAAAATTGTTTGTCGTATTTTGCAATAACGAAGCTTTAATAATTAAGAAATAAAAAACATGTACCGTGTTTCTATCGAGTTATAGCCCCAAGAGTGGAAGTTTGGGAGAACGAGAAATGCTGTAGGAACACGAGCCGCAGGTGAGTGTTTCCACAGCTTTTTCGAGTTCTCCCAAACTTTCACGAGTGTTTCTTTAACTCGATAGAAACACGGAGAACATGTTTTCTATTTCTTTTAGAAAACACTGCGACGAAAGAAAGGAAAACAACTTGTTAACTTTGATTATCAAAATTTAAATTCTCTTTGCTCGCGCCATTATTACGTCAACAGCTCGTGCTAGTTCTGTGTTTCTATCGAGTTACAGAAACAAGATTTTTAACCAATCAGCGCGCGAATTTTCTTAGGACTGTTTTCTAATGCAGATTGTAATATGTTGTCGCAATCTGAAATAATCCAACCTGTCGTAACCTGTGTGAAATTATAACGCATTGCCGTGTTTTGTAACCACCTGGAAGATAACACGTAAATGTTATGTGTTAACTGGTGATCTCCGCGAAAAATGGTCTAATCAGCTGGAACAAAGAAGGGAACTCTTAAGCCAACCAGCGATCAAGCCAACCAACCAACCAGCCAACCGACCATCCAACCAATCAGGCAGGATAGAGCTTGCTTTCAAGTACGGTTAACCTTCCATAAGCATAGGGAAACTTTTCCTCCAACTTCACGTTAGCATTATGCTAACTCAAATTTATCTCTACATTCTGTATGTTGTTTCGGTGGACAGCGAAATATCAGAAATTAGTCTTGAGGTGGGAGTCTGATGTCAAGTAATTTCCATATCATTTGAAATGTCAGTTTATCAGCTGCAATCTTGCGTTACTAGTCAAAATACTGGAAGGTAGCTTTGTGAAACAGGATCCAGCTTTTTCTTAATTTCATTTTTGTTTTGATATAACACGCTAAATTCTGTTTTCCCTAAGGACTTGAAAAGGGTAAACAAACATGTGAAAAATTAAGAGCTGCCACAGGTTTCATGATATTAGCTCATATTCTCGATCAATCCAGCTATAATGAATTATTACAATTTGCCACAGCCCTGTTTATTACAAACTGCGTCAACGTGGTATTGAATTGCAAGAATTTACAAGGCGTTCGTTATTGGAAAATGTGACAAGCACTATTAAGATCTATGACAGGTATAAAAAAGCGCGCGAAGAGTTAATTACAATATAAGAGGGCACTATAAAGCGAGGTTATTACAGCTAGTGACAGCACGTACGTTTCTAGACCAAACTAGCTAGAGTTTGAAGAAAAATCGTGTTTATTCAGGTAAGTGGGGCTGGGTCAGTCCTTATTGAGAAAACCCCCTACACGATTAGTGCTAAGTCTTTGGTTCTCCCGAGGGAGGGGGGTCCCAAGCGAAAGGAACGAGGTTGCTCGTTTGAAAAACTGAATTAAACTCTTCTTAAGCTAAAGGTGACCAATCTATGATTGGATAGATAAAGAGCGATGGAGAACAGAGTTAATTTTCAACTGGCGGACCAGGCCGAAAAGTTAGACGTGATATCTAATGAGCTCTGAATTGAAAGCGTTCAATATTGATAGCAGAATCTACTTTATTTCTTGTTTGATTTTTTTACCTTTTATATTGGTGCGCCAAAGAAGGTCGTCAACATTTCCAACATGGCAGCTGCATACTAGCTACAGTACTATAATTTTCTAAAAATTATTTCTTAAATAACTTGGATGTGGAAAGCGCTATGAAGCTATGATTTTTCTTTCCGCCCTCTCTAAAACGTATTAGTTTTCCGATTTTGTTCAAGTTACCAAACAGTTTTAATGGGAGAGGGTAATTTGAAAATCTCTCTTCAATTTGGAGGTACACCCGAAAATGACGGTTCCGAAATAATGATCTTTCAAGCAGCCGAGACGGTTTTTCCAAAATTCGACACTTAAACAACGCGTTCCCTTGGAATTGAAATCCTCAAACTAAATCAATCAATCAATCAATCAATCAATAAATCAATCAATCAATCAATCAATCAATCAATCAATCAATCAATCAATCAATCAGTCAATCAAACAATCAATCGATCGATCGATCGATCAATCAATGAATAACCAATCAATCAATCAATCAATCGGTCAGTCAGGCAGTCAATCAATCAATCAACCAATTAACTGATCTTTCAATCAGTCAAACTTTATTTAAGTGTCAAGTCTATCTAGCCGAGGGTAAGGACCCTCTACTAATTAAGGACGCAAAAAATAAATTATAAAAATAATATTAATACAGCTACCTAATTATCAATTAAAACGAAAAATTCAGCTGTTATAGCCATCAGTAAATAAATCATCTGATCATAAAAAAAATCTAAAAAAAATAATTATTTACAACAATACTTACCTATTTACAATAATTGATAAGATAGTTCAAGACAGGCTTAAAAATTAAAGGTCAAGTGCTGCAAAAGACACATGCAGTTCTCGCATTCATGTCTTATCTTAGATGAAGTTTGATTTAATGAATTTGTCTTCTGGATGAGTACAGTGACGGCAGGTTTCTCAAATGTATTCATCTTATCGTTATACATAGATTTTAAATTGCAGATTTTAAATTAAATTACGTAGATTTTAAATTGTATTCATCTTACTTTCACGTCTGCTGAGACCTCATTCATTCATTCATCCATCCATCCATCCATTCGTTCGTTCGTTCGTTCGTTCGTTCGTTCGTTCGTTCGTTCGTTCGTTCGTTCGTTCGTTCGTTCGTTCGTTCGTTCGTTCGTTCGTTCGTTCATTCATTCATTCGTTAGGTAAGTCGAGAGCTGACTCCACAGTTTAGGTCCTATATATCTGAGCGAGAGTTTCCGCAGGAATTCAAATTGTTCTCGTAGTAAACAGACAGATTCCGACATCAGGAAACTTGAATTCAGCCCTCAAAGAAAATATTGGTTTGACAAACACCAGCGACAACTGTGGTGCTATTGTCACATGTCTTTCATTTGAACTGACTGTTCTACTGTAAACGTTTCCGTACAAGCCAAACAGAGCTTGACAACTGCATGAATCAATTTGCCCAGCCAGGAGATAAAAACAAGCATGACAAACACAATAAAGTCTCGAGCAATAAGACTCCAGGTAGCAATTGCTGGTTTTCAGTGTCACGCAATTCAAAATAGATCAAAATAAAAAACAAAACCGGTCAATAGATGAAGTCCAGAATCTGGGAAATAAAAGATGATAAATATGCAGAGATTCTCGCCAAAATTATGGTCACAGCAATTTTTCTTATGCGAGATATGCGGAGAAAGTTTTTACCCAAATTTACAGAGATTTGTATGGAGACGCCATGCTGGTGCCCATCCGTATGGGCACCAGCATGGCGGCCGGAAACCAACAGAAACATCTGT